GTAGAATATCGAAATTTTATCCTTTGGTAAAGTCTGGAACGAGTCTGAATTCAGATAGACTTTTATACTGATTTCAAACGTTGATACTTGATTCCAAAATGTTTCACACGAGGCGCGGCATGATACGTACGATAAAAATTTTTTCACGGTTCAGATACTTTCCAGCGTGGGAGATGTTTCTTCTGAAAACACCAAAGTAGAACTTACTCGGCACTCTACTTACGTCTGAATCACCGTACACCCCTATCTCAACTTCCATGCTGGCAAAGTACACAAACCCTTTGGATCCTCAAGCTCGAGAGACGCGTTTATTCATTCATGTATTCATTAGCGACATCGAGTTCGTTCCCGAAGAACGAGCAGGGAAGAAACTTGGACATCGACAAAAGTACGAGGTCTAATCAAAACTCCTCCCCAAAACTGTTTCTGGGAAAGCGTGGAATTTTTACGAAATCGGCTGTGATTTCCGACCACCTTTCCCTACCAGGGGGCAAGGAAACTGACGGTGCGGAGAGAGGAGAGGCGTAGAAAAACAATTGGAGGACGACGTTGCGAGCAGGCAATTTGCAATTCATTTTGCCTGAACGTTGCGAACGAGGTGGCTGAAAACTGGGGGAAGAAGAGACGCATCGGTGAACGAGAAACCGGTCGACACAAAAGGGAATAGGTAATGACGCACTTAAAGGGCTGTGCGAGCGATTCAAAGAGAAACTAAATATGCCGGGAGTACACGCTGATAATAAATACAGAGAATGCCAAACTAGTAGACGGATCGGCAGTTTTAATGGAGCTTGCATTATACTTGCATTAACTGTACCGGTACCGACACACGTCAACAATTTCTCCTTTCGCCGGGTTGCCAAACAGAAAGATTCCCAAATCTTTCGAAACCTGCGTTTCCCCAGAGGATCCAGTCGCGATAAACCCAAGAAAATGATCTTATACTTGCGTCAACTCGCAATGCATACTTGATATCTTCGTATTCTCTGTACTCTCGTCGGTGGCACGTAACGTATCCAAATTCATTAGTAAATTCAATTTGTAAATTATCGACGTGTAACATCTCTGACGCACGGCGAACGATCAGAGCATAAAAAAAGAGTCGAAATTGTCGTCGCCCGCCGAGCTGTAACGTAGGGAAAAAAGAAGAAGAAGAAAAAAATTGACGCGCATCCGTCTTAGTGGAGTGGAGTGGAGTAAAACTCGTGGAACGTAGCGTACCGGGAATATCAGCCAATCTCCGGCTTAATTAAAGCGAGTAGACGTTTCGCGGACCGCCGGATTGGAACAGCCGTGGCGTTTTTTAATTTCCAACCGCGAATTACATTTGCCCGACGCGTTCCGAAGTTCCGCCGGCGGAACTTCACCCCGTCGAAATTCGCTAACTTGCCGAGAGGGAGCCGGTAACCGACAGAGTGCTAATAACGTTACGTCCGCGTAGCTGAATAATACGTACGCCGTGTAACGAAATCATTTTTCACCGGAGCGCTTAATGCACTTGAAGGGCCGGGCCGTGGCTCAAAGGAGAGCTTGAACAACGTTCCGCGACCGTAACAACGCGCCTGTCCGCGATAAATGTGGCTAATGACCGTACAGCCAGTCGGCCCGCGTATTTTCCCCATAATTTCGATCAAGTGTACAAGCCGGGCTAACCGGCCTTTTCGTACGCACCACCGCGACTTCTGACTGGGATATCCATTCGAGTGGCTGGAGTTTCCACCGGATGAAATTCATTCCGTGGAATATTCAATTGCCAATACGATATTTGCCCGAGTTACGACCATTGTTCGCCGAGATTTTCAGTCCAACGAGTTTGTTCCATTTTGAGCAACGACGCTCTGATGGCGTACACAATTTTTTTTAGAGGATGTATCTATTAATAAATAACTTCAAATCAGTCAGAACTTTCGCTGAGAATTGGTCTGAATGAGACTGACTTTCCTAGCATTCGTTTTAGCTTTCAAGTCGAAAACACTCAAACCGATATCTTAAATCGAATATATTAAAATATAATAAATTCCAAATTATTAAAATTCAAATGAAAGATGAAGGATCTTTCACGTCTCGATCAAGAAACTCTTGTCGATCAAATCACTAGGGCATTTCTCACACTCGGCTAATTAAATTATTTTTCAAGCCCGTTTATGAGCTAAATGAAAAAAAGAAAAAAAGGAAAGAAAGAAAGAAACGATTGCTCAAAGTTACCCTGATAGTTGCGGATATCTGTTCGAGGCGGAGGGCTAAACTTTTAAATTGCACTGCACAAAAGAGTCCATAATAAGATGAACGCAAAGAGAGAGGAAAGGTAGAGGGGGACAAGGGGGATTCATCGTCGAGAGGAACGGCGGTTGGCCAGGCTGGAAAATGGGGCGTTAAGTTCATTAAATTACAAAGGGTGAAACGGAGAGAACGCGCGAACAGCTGGAGCGATGCGATTGCGATTAAAGTTCTTCGAGCTATTAGGAGAAGAAATAAATAGACGAGCGAATAAATAAACCGAAGTTAGGCCGCAGTGTTGGAAAAACCAAGTGACGGAAGAAGATGGGGATGTATATACACGCGGAAACGAGAAACGCGAGTTATAATGGGATAGAAAGTTTCTCTCTTTCTAGGAAAGGAAGTCTTCGACGTCCTCCTTCCCTTCAACCAGCGGATAAAATTTGCTAGAAAGCAGGAAACACGGATAAACGTGGTTCAAAATGTTATTACGCAAAACGTGATTTCCCTTCCTTTTCCTCTCTTCGTCGAGCTTCTCTCCTTGTTTAATATTTTCACATTGTTGAAATAAGAAACTGAATTTGAAATTATATATAGGACGTGTATTATTATTATTATTATTATTATTATTTTTTTCAATGTATTTGCTGCATATTATTGTTAATTGCTGTATCGCGTCAACTCTCTAGTAGCACCAAGGATCTATTAATTCAAATACACAGCCATGTGCTGCCACCTAGTGACAGGATAAAAGAATTCCTGCCAACAGTTTCTACAAGGTGTTTGGGTTGGGGGCTAATTTCCTTGCCTAATAAATCTCCTAATAAAATTATTGTGCAATTACGAAACAACACCAGAGAAGTTCTAATTATTTCATACGACGTCGATCGATCTATCTTTGTCACTGACAGGTCGGGAATGCATGCTCTGCAAAACCATATCAACGGACATATGTCAAGATCGACGGTCAGAATTCGAAAGTACAACACACTCGTTGTAACACTCGCTGTCACAATAATTCGGCATATCAATCTGTGTCGACGATGCTGATCAAAAGTCACTCGACTGAATCTGTTAATTTCGCGAATAATCTTCGTGTATAAGTTCAACTATACATACTGATCGAAGGGCACGTTTATGGTCGCCACTCATAACAAATTAATATGAAAATGCAGAGTCATAATATCTTGCAACATCTGCGCGTAATATCTCAAATGCTCGTTATATACATTTACGATATGTATAC